GCCGACCATTGAGTGAGTGCACCATGGCCGCGCGCCTACGCGTGGCCACTGGACGCGCGGGTACCGCGTGGGCGCCTAGGTTCGTCCTCGCTGGCATCGGTCCCACCTTCCAGGTCCCAGGCGGGCCCCGCTGCCCCCTCGCTGCGGCGCGGGCGATTGCGGCCTTGGCCCATGCCAGGCTGGGGGGCCCACCCCGGGCCGCCGGAGGGCCAGGACCCGCTGGAACAAGCTCTCTTCCTCCTCCTCCTCCTCCTCCTCCTCCTCCTCCTCCTCCTCCTCCCTATCCTCCTCTCCTCCCCCTCCTCCTCCTCCATCCTCCTCCCTCCTCCTCCTCCTCCTCCGCCTCCTCCTCCTCCTCCTCCTCCCCCTCTGCGCGTGGCCCATGCCCCCCCCGGTTGGGCTGCCTCCCAGCGGCCTTAGCAGGGCCAGCCCCGCTCACGGTTTTGCGTCCTCGCCCCGTTGAGGGCTGCTGCCATCGCGCGGGCTCGCGCCGCTCCGAGTGCTCTGCGTGGCAGCCTGGGCGCAGCAGCGCCGCGTTAGATTGACCGAGTGGCGCCGCGCGGCCAGCCAGAGGCGGCGATGGTGTCGAGTGCAGTGCCAGGAGTGGAAGATCCTGACCCGCGCCAGGTGCCTCGCAGCAGCCTTCCACCACGTGCCCCGCTCCTTGCCAGCGGGTGTTCTGGGCGGGCGAGGTGGTGGGAAGCGCGCGACAGGTTCCCGCGCCGCTGCAACCAATGCGGGTGACTGGGGGCAGCGGTTTGGCACGCCGCTTGCTTCGGGCAGCTCCCCGGGCGGCGCTTGGTGCCAGAGCTGCCTAGGAGCGTGTGCAGACCGCGAAGCCTGGTGGGCCGCCCCAGATGACCGTCTCATTTCCAGAGAGACTCACCAGCACCTGCCGCATCGCGCGGGCTGGTGCAACTCCACTGGGGCGTGCCCCGGACGATGGGCGCTGCTTGCTGTGCAGCATGGGAGAGGCCAGCAGCGAGCACCCGTGGAATTGGTGCGTCGCTGCTACCCTGGCCCCGGACCTAGTGCGACCGCCAGATGCGCCGCTGATCCTTGCGGGGGCCATCACGACTCCAGGACCGCATTGCGTGGTACCAGGTCACCTGATTCACCTGGCGGTGTTCAGGCACACCGTGGCTCTCAATCACGACTCGCTGGATGCCGACACCGCCGCCAACCCCGCGCGTGCGAGGATAGTGGTCGACAGGCTCGACGCTGGCCGGGACAACGCTGACCCCGGCGACCTCCTACCATACAGCGGTGCTAACGCCTCAGACGAATGGGGCAGAGGTGGGGATGCCTGCCCACTGCCTACCAGCTGACCCTGGCCAGCAACTCCTGAGCTCGGGGAGGGGCCCCTTCATATACGTGGTATACCCTGGAAGCGCCGTCCCGCAGCGCGACCGTGCCCTCGCAGGCGAACGGCCCACCCAAGCGGCGGCTCCCCCGCTGAGCCAGGAGCTGCTCTGGTGCCGCTTTGGAGCACCTGCCGCGGCATCGCCGGGGTGGGCCCCTTGCTCCCTCCTCCCTCCGGCTCCTCGTCGAGAGCTTCCGCAGGCGGCTTGTCTCTCCCATCGAAGAAGAAGACACGCCATAAGCATGTACTTTTGGCGCTCCGCGCGGATTTCTTGTGTCCGCGCTGTGCACTCCCTGGCAGCGCGTCCGGCGCCGCCCCTGGAGTGCTCCGCTCGCCAGGGAGGGGGGTCCAGGGCAGATCCAAGAAATCCGCACGGAGCGCAAAAAGTTTGTGCTTATACCAGTTTCTTTTCCTCCATCCCAGCCCCCGACCTGTCGACGAAAAGAGAAGCCGCCCAGAGAAAGGAGGGAACCCTGGGATACACCCCAAGGGGGCTATTCGGACGCACCCCTATTGAGGATGGACGCCCCCGCACCGTATATCCCAGGGTTGGGCCCGAATTTTTTGGTCCATTCGAAAGCCCCACGAAGCCTGGCATGGGGGTCGACATATCCCCTGCCATGCTGTCGGAGATGGAGCTCTAGGCCTCCCACAATGTGGTCGGAGCAGGTGGGGTCGGAGGATCGCGCCGCATCACTGATGCACTGCCGAGGCATCGGCGGCGTGGCTCGACGTGGATCCCGGTGCAGTCCTCGGACCCCATCCGGGAGGCAGGAGGAGGAGGAGGAGGAGGAGGAGGAGGAGGAGGAGGAGGAGGAGGAGGAGGAGGAGGAGGAGGAGGAGGAGGAGGAGGAGGAGGAGGAGGAGGAGGAGGAGGAACAGCATGCGTCGCGGGCGCGGGGACCTGGCGCGTGGGCGCCAGAGCCACGGAGCCTCTCCAGAAGCTCGGGTGCGAGGCCGCCGAGCACGAGCTCGCTATGCAGCACGAGCCCGCAGGCGCCACCGGGGGCGCGGACACCCCTCGCGGTGGACGTCCGGCCCAGAGTCCGCGTCCACGGCTTTCCTCCTCCTCCTCCTGCTTCTCCTGCTCCTCCTGCTCCTCCTCCTCCTCCTCCTCCTCCTCCTTTTCCTCCTCCTCCTCCTCCTCCTTCGCCTTCGAGATGGGCCGGGCTGGCGGCTTGGGGAAGATGCGTGAAGTCGGCACTCGGGAGGGAGGCGGAGAGCTCAGGGGCCGCGTTAACAGGGGGGACAGGCTCAGGGGGGGGAGCATCGACCCCCCATCGCCTATCCATCGCCGATAGGGGCCTGATGGCTCACCCCGCCCACGATCGCGAGGTTTCGCTACATCGGGGGCTTGTCGCCGATGCATCGGCGACGTATCGTCGATTCCACGTCAATGGTTCCCTCCATCCGTCACTCGCCCACTGCCGTTCCCCCTCGCTCCTCCCTCCTCTCCCTCCGCCACTTCCTTTGGTCCTCCTCGCTTAGGTGTTCGTTCTGGGGACCTTCCTGGGCCCTACCTGACGGATCGGTTCGACTCTAGCTCGTCTCTAGCTCGACTCCAGTTCGGCTCAAGTTCGACTCACTGTCAACGGACGTCCGACGCAGCATCGACGTAGGAGGGGAGCCGCTGGAACGAGCATCTGGCTTCTCTCTGCCTGCCTCTCCTCTCCGCCGGCACCTTCCGTCGCGCTGCTGGCCCAGGGCCCCGGGGCTCGCACGAGCGCGTGTGATTCGGGCATGCCTCGTCCGCGCCCGCGTGGCCGGCTCCATGGGTCGAGGCGTGCCCTGGGGCTGCCGCCCCTGGTGCTGGAGGCCGTACGAGGGCGGGATTTGCCGCTGGACCCTGAGGTTCGACAGCGCAGGACTCGAGGCGGGTTTCATCCGATGGCGCTGCCGCGCGATTCTCAGGAGGGGAAAGAACACACAGACACAATTCATCGTCGATCCCCAAGCAAATATGGGAGAAGATGGGAATTGGGCGGGAAGACAAGAACCCAGAAAATGTGGGAAAATATGGGAGTCATGTTATTTGTGTGTATTTATTTGTGTGTCCTGGGGCCCCTTCAGATGCCGCCACCGCGCTCGGGCGGCCGCGGTGGGGGGGAAGCATGGGCGGGCTCTGGAGGGGAGAATGGGGGGGGGGGGGAGGGTCCACGGATCCCCCGTTCTCGAGCGGCGTGTGTCGCGGAGCATGCTCTGCATGCAGGGCCAAACACGCAGGGACTTGGCCACGCAAGTGAGCGCATCTTGGGCTCGGTTTGAGTCGGGCTTGTCCCTCTACAGGAGGAATATTCAAAAATAGTAAAAATGTGAATCTGGGACGACAATGTGAGTTTTTGTTTGTTTTTAATTTCACATGTTGGGCTATAGTTTGTCAATGTTTATTTGTTCTTGCAACATCCTCCTGTAGGAGGACAGGCCCGACGTAAGGCTCTTTGCGTCGGGCCCCCCTCCCAACGATTGCGTCGCAAACAGGCGAATGGGGTCCCGACGCAGACCAACCGCTGCAGAAGCGCGATGTCGAGGAAGCAGCGGTTGAGCGAGTGGACGTCCACGATGATGTTATGCGTGATTATCTTGATCGTCATTCTTCCTCTGGTGGAGATTCTATTGAGCCCTGATCGCTCCGAAGCGCCCAGTCACTTGAGGATAAAGCGGGCTTCAGGTTTCTTTGGCGGTGCGGCGGTGGTGGCAGTTTTGCTGATCGTGGCAAAGGCGCTGGAGCACAGCTACGTGCCACCCTGCAGTGTGTGTGTTCGTGCTTGGAGGTCATCACGATTGTTGTGAGTGTTACCATGATGGTAATGACGATTTGTCTCAGCCGCTTTTACGTCGCCAGGATTACTGGATACGACGACCCCGAGGCAGTGTGGGGTCGCGAACTTGGATACACTGACGGCCTGAACTTACTCATCCTCAATCTGTGTGCATCCTTTGGGCACCTGGCCCCGGTCCGCTGGGTGTTCTTGCTCCCGCTGGAGGTCGGGCTCGCGCTGGTGTTCGAACTGCCAATCCTTCTGTGGGACAGCCCCACTCCAGACGCGGTTCCGATGTTCTCCCTCTGCGCGATCTGGGTGGCTTTCTTGGCGGCCGTTGGCAAGCTAGGGGGCCACATGCGAACCCTACCCCTACCACCCACGATTTCTGGGGGGGAGGGTGGGGTTCACTCCGTTCGGGAGCTCTCGAGCGAAGTGAACCCCACCCTCCCCCTCAGAAATCGTGGGGGGCAAGGGTTACAGTCGGGGCGCTGAGGAAGGAACCCTTTTCGTTGGGGAGGGGCTCGGTGTTCCGAAGTTGTTTTGCAGTTCGCCTTTGGTTTTGCTTAGGGTTTCGATGGGACATCGAAGTTTGACTTATGGGAAAAAGGGGCCTCGTTCCTTATTTAGGGTTCCTTAGGTCAACGCCCCGACTGTAGGGTTCGCATGTGGCCCCCTACAAGCGGCACAGCGAACTGCAGGACCGCCTCCTCTTCCGGAGCCTGCTGTCCGAGAAGACGCGGCGGTTCGTGGCCGAGCACGAGCTCGCCAGGCAGCACGACGAGCCGGCCGGCGCCACCAGGGGCGCGGGCGCCCCCGCGGCGGCCTCCGCGGGGGCCTCCGTCCCGGAGACGGCGTCCACAGCTGTTGCCTTCGAGATGGATCGGGCTGGCGGCCTGGGGAAGATGCGCGAAGTCGGCACTCGGGAGGGAATGAGAGCTCTCCTCCTCCTCCTCCTCCTCCTCCTCCTCCTCCTCCTCCGCCTCCGCCTCCTCCGCCTCCTCCCTCCTCCTCCTCCTGAACGTGAAGCGGTGGACAGGCTCAGGAGGATACGCACCGACCCGAAGGATTGCAAAAAAACCAAGGATTGCAAAAAAAACCCTTGGTCGAAGGATTGCAAAAAAAACCCTTGGTCGAAGGGTTTTTTTGCAATCCAGGGTTTTTTTGCAATCCATCGCCCATGCGTCGCCGAGGGCCAGAATAGCCCACCCCGCCCAGCAGCGCGAGGTTTCGCCATCGGGGGCCCGTCGCCGCTTCCAGAGGCCTCCAAGAGGGCCCCAAGACGGCCTAAGAGCGCCCCAAGACAAGCCAAGAGGCGCCCAAGCCAGCCCAAGAGGCTCCCAAGACGGCCCAAGAGGGTCCCAAGGCGGCCCCCAAAAGGGCCCAAGCGAGGGAACGCGAACCGAAACTCCGAGCCTTCCGCCCCACCCCCTGGAGGCCCCAAGAGGCGCCCACGAGGCCCCAAGAGGCCCCCAAGAGGTCACTAAGAGGCCCCAAGAGGCTCCCAAGAGGCCCAAACGAGGCTCCAAGAGGCCCCCAAGCGGCCCCGTTGCGCTCTGCAGGGGTCTCTCAGGGACACGTCGCCGTCGGGAGCCCGTCAGCGTGTTGCGCCCTCGTTTCAGGAGGGACCAAAAACACACAGACACAATGGATCGTCGATTCTCCAGGAAATATGGGAAAACAGGGGAAGTGGGAAGGAAAGACAACATCCAAGAACATATGGGGAAATACGGGGAATCCTGTGATTGGTGTCTATTTGTTTGTGTGTCCCAGGGCCCCGTCCATCGTTTTTGTCGAAGGTCCTGGTTGTTCTTCAGCAGAAGCGCGCTGAGTGCTTCCCCGTTTCGGCGTGCCATCGATACGGCAGGTTCGCGTCGTATCGTCGCGGCCAGTGGCCCAGAGTCGACCAATGTTGAACAATCGAGCCATGGAAAAGCCGCTTATCGTTCAAGGTTGAACGATCTCCGCGGTGTCAGAAACCATCTCCGAAGTCGTCACGACACGAACCTGTCGTACGGTTTTCGTCCCCCAGGTATCAGAGAGCAATGGCTGATCGATGAAACTGAAGTCAAGGCGCTGCCTACAAGAATTCTCGGCAGAGGTGGTTTCTCGAAGAGGAGAAGCTGCATAAACAGACTTTCGGAGCTCCGCGCGAATTTCTTGGATCGGAATTGGGCCCTCCCTGCGGCGCCTCAGGCGCCGCCCCTGGCGCGCCCCGTGCGCCGGAGAGGCGAGGTGCATCGCCAATTCGAGAAATCCGCACGGTGCTCCGAAAGTTTATACTTATGCCGCTTTGCCTTCCTCGAGCAGAGGTGGCTTTGGCGTTGTTACCTTAGGTGTCTACCACAACACGCCCGTTGCCTTGAAGGAGCCCAGGCAGGACGTCGAGACGAGCGCTGCTGACCAGGTGCTTCCGGCGCTCTGCAACGAGCTGCGGATCCTTCGCCGTCTCCGGCACCCCAATATCGTGTGCTTCTATGGCGCCACCATGGACGACAGTTTTGTGCGACTCCGCCTCGTACTCGAATACATCGACGGTGTGGTCCTGCGGAATTTCATCCAGGCGCACAACCTCGCGGCCAGCAATGGCGAAGGTGGGGATCCGACGCGCCATTTCCGCAGCAGCACTGACATTGTCAACGAGCGGAAACGGATCGTGTGTGACATTCTGAGTGCGCTGCGTTACTTGCACTCGCGGACCCCAGCAGTTGTCCACGGAGACCTGAAGGACTCTGTAGATCAACACTGTCCTCCCTGGTGGCAGATCCTGAGTAGCGTGCCTGGAGAGTGATGAGAGCACGGAAGCGTGCTGTACCAACGGGAACCCACACTGGATATCATACGAGAGACCAAGGATGCATCGGGGGGACCATTCGGGAGACCACCTGGGAGACCGTCTGGAGACCATACAGGAGACCAAATCGGGGGTGGATCGACCTCCTACCCTGACACGTCGAATAGCGAATTGGCCGTTTTCGGCTCGCGAGAGGGCGTCGCGGGCGTCATCTTTGCGGGTCCAGGTCCTTCGGTTTCGGTCCGAGGCCGTTTCCAATACAGGGTGGTTCATGAAAGGGAGGTGTGTCCACCGCCGGCCAACAGGCAGACCGAGACCCGAAAGGTAGACCATACGGGAGACCACAGGCTACCGATGTCAGATCCAGAAGGGCTCACATCGTGCCCTAGAACATCAGTCTGCAGCGCTTCGCGGTACCACGTCCGGACTTGCAAAGTGGCGGGATCCCTGTCGGGCATCAGTGTGCGAGAGAGTTTTGTTATCTAACATCGAAGACTGATAGGTTTCTAATGGGCTAAAAAGAGAGCAGCACATTACTCCACAGGGGGGTCTGGGCAGCCGTTGGGGAGCCGTTGGGGGGCCGTTGGGGTTTGCCAGGGGGGATCGTTTTTCGCATACAGTCACACACTTCGTGCTTTTCGATTTCCCAGAACTCCATTCCCGGGCCACATTCTGAATGCCCGGAGCCAACTGTACGCCACTTCGTGCTCTTCGACTTCCCAGAACTCCATTCCCGGGCCACATTTTGGATGCCCGGAGCCAACTGTAGGCCACTTCGTGCTCTTCTACTTCCCAGAACTCCATTCCCGGGCCACATTTTGGATGCCCGGAGCCAACTGTAGGCCACTTCGTGCTCTTCGACTTCCCAGAACTCCATTCCCGGGCCACATTTTGGATGCCCGGAGCCAATGGGCCACTTCGTGATCTTCGAGTTCCCAGAATTCCATTCCTGGGCATGATTTTGAATGCCCGGAGCCAACTGTAGGCCACTTCGTGTTCTTCGAGTTCCCAGAATTCCATTCCCGGGCCACATTTTGAATGCTGAGGCAGGCTGAGGCTGAGGCTGAGGCAGGCTGAGGCTGAGGCAGGCTGAGGCTGAGGCCGAGGCTGAAGGCAGACTGAGGCTGAGGCTGAGGCAGGCTGAGGCTGAGGCTGAGGCTGAGGCAGGCTGAGGCTGAGGCTGAGGGCTGATGCAGGCTGAGGCTGAGGCAGGCTGAGGCTGAGGCTGAGGAGGAGCAGACTGAGGCTGAAGCAGGTGAGGCTGAGGCAGGTGAGGCTGAGGCTGAGGAGGCTGATGCTGGCAGCTGCCTGAGCTGAGGCTGAGGCTGAGGCTGATGCAGGCTGAGGCTGAGGCAGGCTGAGGCTGAGGCCGAGGCTGAAGGCAGGCTGAGGCTGAGGCTGAAGCAGGCTGAGGCTGAGGCTGAGGCAGGCTGAGGCTGAGGCTGAGGCAGGCTGATGCTGAGGCAGGCTGAGGCTGAGGCTGAGGCTGATGCAGGCTGAGGCTGAGGCAGGCTGAGGCTGAGGCCGAGGCTGAGGCAGACTGAGGCTGAGGCTGAAGCAGGCTGAGGCTGAGGCAGAGGCAGGCTGAGGCTGAGGCTGAGGCAGGCTGATGCTGAGGCTGGCTGATGCTGAGGCAGGCTGAGGCTTAGGCTTTGGCTGATGCAGGCTGAGGCTGAGGCAGGCTGAGGCGGAGGCCGAGGCTGAAGGCTGAGGCTGAGGCTGCAGGCTGAGGCTGAGGGCAGGCTGAGGCTGAGGCAGGCTGAGGCTGAGGCTGAGGCAGGCTGAGGCTGAGGCTGAGGCAGGCTGAGGCTGAGGCTGATGCAGGCTGAGGCTGAGGCAGGCTGAGGCTAAGGCTGAGGCTGAGGCTGGGCAGGCTGAGGCTGAGGCTGAAGGCTGATGAGGCTGAGGCTGAAGCAGGCTGAGGCTGAGGCTGAGGCTGAGGCTGAGGCTGAGGCTGAGGCAGGCTGGCTGAGGCAGGCTGAGGCTGAGGCTGAGGCTGATGCAGGCTGAGGCTGAGGCAGGCTGAGGCTGAGGCCGAGGCTGAAGGCAGACTGAGGCTGAGGCTGAAGCAGGGCTGAGGCTGAGGCTGAGGCAGGCTGAGGCTGAGGCTGAGGCAGGCTGATGCTGAGGCAGGCTGAGGCTGAGGCTGAGGCTGAGGCAGGCTGAGGCTGAGGCAGGCTGAGGCTGAGGCCGAGGCTGAAGGCAGACTGAGGCTGAGGCTGAAGCAGGCTGAGGCTGAGGCTGAGGCAGGCTGAGGCTGAGGCTGAGGCAGGCTGATGCTGAGGCAGGCTGAGGCTGAGGCTGAGGCTGATGCAGGCTGAGGCTGAGGCAGGCTGAGGCTGAGGCCGAGGCTGAAGGCAGACTGAGGCTGAGGCTGAAGCAGGCTGAGGCTGAGGCTGAGGCAGGCTGAGGCTGAGGCAGGCTGAGGCTGAGGCTGAGGCAGGCTGAGGCTGAGGCTGTGACTGCGACTGCCGTTGCCGCTGCGACTGTCATCGCGAATGCGACTACGACTGCGAGAACAGCAGAATTCTACAACTGGATTCTCATCCGAATCTTAAGGGGAATGCTTCCAGATATGCTCCTACACATCGATGTTAGGTTGCTTTGCCGGGATAATGGTAAGTGCAACAGGCATTGTATTCTATTGCCGCTGGCCCTCTCCGCCCTCTCCGCGCTAGTTTGACATCCGCATGTCAGGAGCCTGTTATTATTTAATCGCTTCGCTCATTTCGCTGGCCCATATTGCCTCGCCGCTGTCGTTTGTTGGGGTGTTGTTGTCAATGCGGTGCTGTTGGGCGGCTGCCATTTTTCGGAGGCGGTGGGTTGCGGGTCAGAGGCCTCACGGATGTTGGTTGGGCTCGCGTGGTTGGCCTCTCAGGGGCCTTTGGGAGGTAGTTTGGAGTTTGGAGGCCTCTTGGGGGCCGTGTTGGGGCCGTGTGGGGGCCTCTTGGGGGCCTCTTGGGGCTTCTTGGGGAGCCTCTTGGGGGCCCCATGGGGCCTCCTGGGGGCCTCTTGGGGCTGAAGGCTGGACTTTTCGGTTCCTGGTCCAAATCCTGAGGCTCCTCTTGGGGCCGTTTCTTGGGCCTTCTTGGGCGCCTCTGGGCTGTCTTGGGGCCGTCTTGGGCCGTCTTGGGGCCCTCTTGGAGGCTTCGTGGGCCGTCTTGGGGCCGTCTTGGGCCGTCTTGGGGCCCTCTTGGAGGCTTCGTGGGCCGTCTTGGGGAGGTCTTGGAAGCCTCTGGCCGTCTTGGAGCGCCGGTAAGCCGAACAGGCGAGAAAGCCAACAACCGTCAGAAACTCATGGAACAATCACTAATTTCTGCCTCTGTGGGCCCTCTCGGGAGGTCTCTCGGAGACCTCTTGGGGCGTCTTGAAGGCGCTTTGGGCTGTCTTCAGGCAATCTTTGGTGTCTTGGATCGCTCTTGGACCGTTTCGGATCATGTTGAGCTCTCTTTGAGGCCACTTGAAGCGCTCCTGGAGCGCCCTTGGGAGCCTGCTTTGACCTGGCCGAGACCTGCCCGGGACCTGCCCGGGACCTGCCCGGGATCTTGCCAGGACTGGGACCCCCAGGGCGCGGCCCCGCGCGCGCGAACTAGACATATTGTTGACCAGTTACCCGAGATCTTGGGACGCCCTTGGCCCGTTGGGCCGGCGAATTTCAGAGTAACGGGCGTTACCGAGGGGGCTGGAGGGAGTGGCCCGTCAGCCTCGAGATTTGTGCCTGCGGGCGGTGGGGGGAGGGGCCTGGTAACGTCAGAGCTGGGAGTGGCTTGGGATGACGACGACGACGGCGACGATGGCGGCAGCGACGACGATGACGACGACGTCGACGACGACGACACGATGATGACGACGAGGACAACGATAACGACGACGAAGGACGACAGACGACGGACGACGAAGACGGCGAGGACGACGACGACGACGTCTACGACGACGATGACGAACGATGACGACGACGATGACGACGACGACGACGGTCCACGACGACGGACGACGGACGACGATGACCACGAGCAGGACGACGAGGAGGACGACGACGACAACGACCGACGTCTTCCAGAGGCTGCTGGAGGCCTCTCGAGAGGCGCATGCGAGCACAGGACCAATGATGTACGCAGTCGTTGAAGCGTTATTTTGTGCACGGGCGTTGTGGTGTACACAGGCGCTGTGGTGTAAAATTGCGCTGTGGTGTGCACGGCTGTTGCGGTGTACGCAAGACATCTGGTGTACACAGGCTGTGTGGTGCGCACATGCGCTGGTGCAGCAGCATCGTCGGTGTATGCAGACGTTTCTGGGTACACAATCATTATTTGGGTGTGTGCAGGAATGGTTGTTCGCACTGTCGCTGCGATGCGCGCAGACGCTGTGGTGCACGCAGGTGCTATGGTGCACATGCACGCTGTTGTATAGCAGCTGTTGTGCACTCAAGCACTGTGATGTACGCAGGCCGTGGGGTGCCCATAGGCTGTGTGGTATACACATGCGCTTTTGGCCTTAGGAGAAGAGGGCCGACTCTTGGGCTATATATGACATTCATCATACATTGTTTTACTCGTACACTTGATAGTTTCGGGCTTCCTACGGTTTTCGAGGTTTCACCCCAGCAGGACCCTGATGGTGTGTGTCCACACGCCTTTTGGTGTACATGTGCCAAGGCAGTATGGTGCACAGGCTGTGTCGTGCACTCGCATTGTGTTGAAGTAGCAGCGCCGGGGCGGTGTGGTGTGCACAGGGAGTGTGGTGCCCACAGGCGTTGTGGGACACATTGCTGCCGTGGTGTACACAGGCGCTGTGGCGCGCACACTTGCTGGTGCAACAGCATTGGTGGCGTACACAGGCACGGTGGTGTACACAATCATTGTGGTGTGCGCAGGGAGGATTTTCCGCACTGGCAGTGTGGTGTGCATAGTCGTTGTGTTGCTCCTAGTTGCTATTTTGCGCACAGGTGCTGCTGTCGCACTTGTGGTGCACACAGCCATTATTGTGTACTCAGGCGGTGGGTGCTCATAGGCTGTGTGGTACACAGGCTTGTTTGCCCTTAGTGCAGGGGGGCGAATCTTGAGCAACAGAAGTCAGTGCTTACACATAACTATCGTGATGAGCTTGATACTGTTGGACTCGAAAGGGAAGGTAGTAGATATGCCTTGTCGTCCGCACACATTGATGGTTGTGGTGCACGCAGAATTCATTGCTTCAGCAGCTCTGGTGTACAATGGTTCTGTGGTGTACGCAATTTCTGCTGTGTGCACAGGCGCTGTGGTGTACACAAGCATTGTGGTGTACACAGGCGCTGTGGTGCGCACGTCTGCTGGTGCGACAGCATCGGTTCTGTACGCAGCCATGGTGGTGTGTTCATGGTGCACGCTGGCACTGCTGTTTACACATGCGCTGTGGTGCACACCGTCGCTGTGCTGTTCACATGCGCTGTGGTGCACGCATGCGTTGCTGCAGTACTCGTGGTTCACATACGTACTGTTAAGGACAAAGGTGCAGAGGTGCACCGAAGGCTACCTTTTGGTACGTTGGGCCGAAGTCTGACCAAGCTATTGGACGATGTGTTCCCGCAGATGTTGTGGATCCCACTCGGGGAAGACTTGGGAGAGGAAGAGACAGGAGGATAAGCGGAAAGATGAGGAGAATAGGGAGTAGGAGGAGGCCTCTTGAGGCCTTCTTTGGGCCTCCTGGGGCTTCCTGGGAGCCTCTTGGGGGCCTCTGAGGGGCCTCTTGGGGGGCCTCCTGGGGGCTTCTGGGAGGCCTTGGCTTTCGAAGGCCGTCGTGGGGCCTTCTATGGACAGCCGGCAGCCACACCATCAGCCAGTGATGGTTTGCGTATATTGTTCCGCCCGCCGGACTGAACGTCCCGTCTGCAGTCGTCGTCGGCGGCGTCCTCGTCGTCTCCGCCGCCCTCGTCGGTGGTTGTTGTGTTTTCCCTCAACCTTTCCCGTCAAAGAGTGAGAATTCCCTTGAATGTCCCGCCACCTGTGGTCGTCGTCGTCGTCGTCGTCGTCGTCGTCGTCGTCGTCGTCGTCGTCGTCGTCGTCGTCGTCGTCGTCGTCGTCGTCGTCATGGTTGTCGCCGTTGTCGGTGGCTGTTTCACATTTTCCCCCAATCTTGTTCCATTAACGAGCGAGGGTCCCGACCGACCGCCCGAGTCGTCGTCGTCGGCTTCGTTGGCTGGCGTCGAGAGGGAAGGGGGTAGAGGGGGTTCTCGTCAGTGAAGGTGGGCTGAGAGGGGGGGGTCCCGCTCCCTCAGAGGAGGGGGGGATTTTCGGAAGGGCGGGTTCCTGTTCCGAGGGGGGGTTCTGATCTTGCGCCAGTGCAGCGTTGATCCACTGTATTTCTACGTGTGCCTGAGCAGCCAGGAATTTCAAGGACGTAATTCAGCGACGGCAACAAGGCATTTTTTTGAGCGAAGACTTCTGGCCTCCTCCTCCTCCTCCCTCCTCCTCCTCCTCCTCCTCCTCCTCCTCCTCCTCCTATTCCTTATCCTCCTCCCTCCTCCTCCTTCTCTTCCTCCCCCTCCTCAAGGCGCGGAGACTTCTGGCCGTTTGATGGCTGTGCCCTGTGTCCCTGGACAGCCTGCCTGTGAGGGTGCCGTATCCGCGGGCCCCCCCTGTGGTCCGGCTGCGGAGGCCAGGCTTCAGCAACTGATCAGCTGAGTACTCACCACTGCGAGAGAGAAACTCGCGATGAGTGATTTGACAGTTACTCCACCTCCTCCCCCTCCTCCTCCTCCTCCTCCTCCTCCTCCTCCTCCTCCTCCTCCTCCCCCTTCTCCTCCTCCTCCTCCCCCTCCTCCTCCTCCTCCTCCTCCTACTCCTCCTCCCCCTCCTCCTCATACTCCTCTGTTCCAAGGTCCCAGCATTCACAGAGAGTGCTTCCTCGCTCCGGGATTGGAAAATTGTAGAATGCGCGTCCCCAATCAGCGGATTTTCGGGTTCGATGTTGGAAGCCCTCTCCACTCCCTTTCGCACGGCAGCGGCGCTGGAGGCGCCGCCAGAGGTGCGGAGAAGGGGCGTCTGGCGTTGGCCCGGGGAATCCGCGTGGCCCTCCAACATGTCGACTGGCCTCGCATACTCTGCAGGAGGAGGAGGCGGAGGCGGAGGAGGAGGAGGAGGAGGAGTAGGAGGAGGAGGAGGGAGAAGAGGAAACATAATAACACTCATGTTAGTAATGCTAGCAATACGAGTAAGATGAATCATATTACGAATGAGAATGATATCAATACGAATGCTACTAATACGAAGAACAATCATACAAACACTAGTAATAATAAGTACTACTTGTAATATTGTCATTGAAATAAAACGGTCCTTATTTTTCTAGTCACACAAGTAATGTTACCAAGTAGTACGACTTGTACTAGTAGTACTACTTGTACACATACTAAGCACTACGTATTCGAATAAGCATATTAATTTTAATATTATTGATACTACTACCACTGCTACTACTACTGCGACTACTGCGACTACTGCTACTGCTACTACTACTACTACTACTACTACCACTACTACTACTACTACTACGACTGCTGCTACTACTACTACTACTACTGCTACTACTACTACTACTACTACTACCATTACTACTACTACTGCTGCTGCTGCTACTACTACTACTACTACTACTACTACTAAGCTACTACTACTACTACTACTACTACTACTACTACTACTACTACTACTACTACTACTAACTACTACTAAACTACTACTAACTACTACACTACTACTACTACTCTTACGTCTACTACTACTTACTATACGACTACTATACTACTACTACCACTAAACTACACTACTACTACTACTACTACTACTGCTGCTACTACTACTACTACTACGACCAATACTACTATTACTACTACTACTACTACTACTACTACTACTACGACTACTACGACGACTACTACTACTACTTCTACTACTACTACTACCACTACTACTGCTACTACTACTGCTGCTGCTGCTACTACTAATATTACTACAACTACAACTACTACTACAACAACAACTACTACTACTAATACTACTACGACTACTACGACTACTACGACTACTATTACTACTACTACTACTACTACTATTACTACTACTACTACTACTACTACTACTACTACTACTACTACTACTACTACTACTACTACTACTACTACCACTACTACTACTACTACTATTACGAATCATCATACTAAGAATTGTCAGACGAGGAGGAGGAGGGAGTGGATTTGGAGGTGGGAGAGGAGGAGGAGGAGGAGGAGGATGAGGGAGGAGGGAGGAGGAGGAGGAATAGAAGGAGGAGGGAGGAGGGAGGGGGAGGAGGCGGAATGTAAGGAGGAAGAGGAAGGGGAGGAGGAGGAGGAGGAGGAGGAGGAGGAGGAGTCCTTCGCGCGAGGCCCACTGATGCTCCCTCGGTTCCCGCCTCGCGCCTTCGACGACTGGCGACTATACGTCGCGGCCGCCAGGTCCAAAGCGTGTCGGCGCTCCCTGGGTGTCCCGCCTTGCATTCTTGTGTGTGGAGGGACCGCTCGAAGCGAGATGATGCTGATGCAATTGCTTTTTCCTCGAACCCTGGTGCGTAGCCATCCCCAGACCCCCCGCGTCATGTTTTTCACAACGTGGACCCCCAGAGGTCCTGACCGTTTCCCCGAGAACGTTTTTTCACCGGGAGCCGTTTCTTGACGGTCCTGGGGTTTGGCGCGGGCCCCCAGGGGCCGAAAGTTGCAAAACACATTCGTTGTTGTGCGTCTCAGGACACGAACATCTCCGTGCAGCAGCAGTGCCTCCACGGGGGCCTCGCCGTGCGCGGGAAGCTGCTGGACTTCGGCCTCGCGCGGCTGCTCACCCGTTCGGCGCAGCCGCTCGGCGGCACCACGCGGTGGAGGGCCCCCGAGCTCTTTGGGAGCGAGAGGCTTCGGCCGGACATCGGAGGAGGAAACTCCTCCTCCTCCTCCTCCTCCTCCTCCTCCTCCTCCCCCTCCCCCTCCCCCTCCCCCTCCCCCTCCTCCCCCTCCTGTACCGATGCTGCTGCAGTCGGACCGAGGTATAAGATCGAGGTCGGTTCGGGGAGGGTGCCCTGATGTTCTTCGTGCTCTTTGGATGTTCGTGCGCATCCTGGGGAGGGCACCCTTGCATGTTCTCTGTGTGCTCTGGCCAGCGGGGTGTCTCGTGTTCTTGGAGGATGTTCTCTTCTGCCCTGGGTCCGACTGTACCCCTGCCTCGGTTTTGCTCTCGTCGCCACGACTGGATTCGCTTCGACATCTTGGGAGATGCCCAGGGAGTAGCAGTATCTGTCCCAACGCTGCTGAATTTGCATCGTTTTTGTTTTTTTCTTGGATCACCGCGGGGGTGCTGAGAGGGGATAGAGGTGCTATGTTATGGCCTTCGGCCCCTCCCGCCACCCTGCCTGGGTTGAGGGTACACAGCCTATAGGATGTTCGTTGGGATCTCGTAGGGGCCTCTCCGGTGCCTCTCTGAGGCAGTTTTGAGGCCTCTAGGGTGCCGTTTTGGGTGTTTTTGTGGCCTCGTTTGGGCCTCTTGGGGGCTCTTGGCGGCCTCTTGGTGGCATCTTGTGGGCCTCTCGGGCGCCGCTTGGGGCCTCCTGGGGGCCCCTTGGGGCAGAATGTTCGGATTTTCGGTGTGTGCTCCCTCTCTTGTCTTGGGCCCCTGTTGGAGCCGTCTGGGGCGCCTCTTGGGCCGTCTTGGGGCCATCTTGGAGGCCCCTTTGGGCCGTCTTGGGGGCCTCGTGTGCCGTTTTGGAGCGTGGGAAAGCCGATCAGGCGAGACCGCCAAGCTCTATGAATCACTAAAGGAAAATCAATGATGCTTGTCTCTTGGGGCCATCTTGGGAGGCCTCTTGAAGGCTTCCAGTGGCGTCTTGGAGGCCTCTTGGACCATCTTGAAGCCATCTGACGCGTCTTGGAGTGGTCTTGGGGCGACCTGGGGTTCTCTTTGGCAATTTTTGGGGCCTCCTGGAGCCACCTGGGCTCGTTTTGGGGCCCTCCTGGGCGGGGTAGGCCGACGCGAGCGATTCCAGGAGATTCGGGCCGGCCGGGGCCGGCCTGGGAAGCGATGTGTCGGGGCCCTTCAGGGCTTACAGTTCTGGCCTGCAGCTGCAGCGCAGCCGCTTCTCTTTTTTGTGCTGCATGAGCCTCGGGGCACGCCACTTCGTGCCAGAGGTACGGTGGCGAAAATGTGGATGCAAAGGTGGGTCATATGTGGCCTAGCCTGGTTTATACGTGGGTTGTAAGTGCCCTGAGTGGCTTATGGGGCAATTATCTGGGCTAAGTTGGTGAGAACCACTTAGCAGAGGTACCTGACCCCTTGAAGCCAGTTTGGCAGTTGCAGCCCTCTCACGAGCTAGTTGAGGCCAGATATGACCCTCCCCAGCACCCACTTGTAACCCCCTGTCCCCCTAGCACTTCCAGCTGTGATCCAAGTTGGTTCTCCTGGGAGGCCTTCGTCGCCACGGCTGGGTTCGCCTCGAAGTTCTGGGATCCAGGCAGTAGCGGTATTGGTACTTTTTTGCTTCCCCAGGACAGGGCAGCGGACGTGTATTCCGAGGGGCGCACAGTCAGCAGAAACGCAAACTGTTGGAACTCCGCGCGGACTTCTCGCATCTGCGCTGGGGCCTCCCCGGCGGCGCCTCCAGCGCCGCCTTCGGCGCTCTCCGCGCGCCAGGGAGGGGGTAGCCCAGAGCCGATCCGGGAGCTCCCGCGCGGAGCTCCAAGAGCTGCTGTCTGGGCAGTTTTTTGTGCCCCTCCGCCGTTCGGTCGGCCTGCTGATGTTCTTTATCTCGACCGCGGCGCAGCCCTTTGAGGGCGTCGACGCTGCAGAGGTGGCCCGAGAGAGGCAGCGGCTGCGGCCGCTCTCCCCGTCGTGGCCCGAGGGCCGTGGCGATGGCGACGACCTGCAGAGCCTGCGGCGCTGGTGCTCCGCGCTGGTGGAGCGGTGCACGCGGCCGCGGCCGGAGCAGCGTCCGACCGTCGCGGATGTCACAGATATGCTCGATCGAGGGCTCTCACCGGAGGAAAAAACGTACTGACCTACCTCGTTTTCGCCTTGTGGGGCCTCCTGGGAGACCCTCGTCGACACCTGCTCGATTCGCCTCGAACATTTGGTCAGAGCGCACTCTGGGATAGGCCTCGCAGATGGGGTCGGAGTAGATAGGGTCGAAGGATCGCGCCGCATCGCGGATGCGTTGGGGATGCAACTCGGTGTGGTTCCCACCTTTCTCCGCGCCTGCGTCGCCGACGCATCGCCGACGTCGCCGATGCATCGGTGATGCATCGACGATGCATCAACTCCATCTGGGAGGCCTCCAGTGGTGGTATCGGTAGCATACCCTCCTCCCCACGCGCACCGAACTCGCCCCCAAACGCGATCCACCCTCCTCTTACCCCCCATCTTACCCCCCAGCACGACCCCCCCCATCTTACCCCCATCTTACCCCCCAGCGCGACCCCCATCTTACACCTATCTAACCCCCACGCGCCCCGCGAAGGACCACCCCATCTTACCCCCCAGCGCGACCCCCCCCCGCTTACGGAGGAACTCGGAGCGCTTCGTGGTCCCCGCAGGCTGGACACCTGGGACGTCTGGGGTTCGGTGGGAGCCGGCGGCGCGCAGGAGGACTTGGGAGGAACAAAGCAGCCACAGACACCACTGCACATCGATTCCCAAGAACATCTGGAACGCACTTACACACACATACATACATCCATCCATCCATCCATCCATCCATCCATACATACATACATACAAACATACATACATACTTGCACACACATACATACATACATACATACATACATACATACATACATACATACACATACACATACATACATACATAACTACATACGTACACACAATAATACGTACATACACAACTACACACCTGCATACATACACACATACATACACACATACACGTACATACATACATACACACATGCATACATACATACACACGTACATACAAGCATACGTATATACAAGCATACATGTATACACACATGCACGCATGCATGCATACATGCATGCATGCATGCACGCACGTATACACCTTTACATACATACATACATACATACATACATACATACATACATACATTCACACATACACACATACACACATACATACATACATACATACATACATACATAACATACACACAAAACACACATAACATACATAACATACATACATACATACATACATACATACAAACATACATACATACATACATACATACGCACATCCACGCACATACACATACAAACACACATACATACATACATACATGCATGCATACACACATACACTCATATGCACACATACATTCATACATCCATACATACACACGCATACATACATACATACATACATACATACATACATACATACATACATACATACATACACACACACATACATACATACATACATACATACATACATACATACGCACATACATACATAAATACATACATACACACCGATACATACATACAATCATACATACGTACACGCATGCACACACATACAGGCACACATATCCACACGTCCATACATACATACACACATTCATACAAACATGCACACACAGCTACATCCATACATACACACATACACACATACATGCACACACATACATACATACATACATACATACATACATACATACATACATACGTATATATATGTAGATAGTTAGATACATACATACATACATACATACACACATACCTACATACATACATATATATATATATACATACATACACATATACAAGCATACATACAACCATACAGCCACACAACTATATTTTTTGTATATCTACATACACATATATATAGACACACATATATATTTATATATATATATATACATGTAGGCATTGGTGAGGAAGAAGAGCATCCAGGACATATGGAGCATCTGGGAATTCGTGGGATGTGTGTCCATTTCCATTTACTTGTGTGTCTCTGGGCCCCTTCAAGGACGTGTCTCTTCAGGCGCAGCCCCCCCCCTCGGATTCCAGCCTGCACTCGCACCCGTCGTCGTCCGCGCTTTGCGTCGTCTTCGACGCTGCCACGCTCGACGTCCTCGAGACCTCCCCGGCCTTCGACGTCCACTTCGGGGCGTGCCCGCCAGGCTCGGCTGTGAGCAGGTGGCTCTCCCCGGAAGACCTTCAGTCCTTATGCGACCGAGTCGACAGCTTCTGCACCTCTGGCGCGCCCCGGTGCACCTTCGACTGGGACCCGCGAGGCCTCCAGCTGCCGCACGCCCCAGACACCGCGGTGCCTGACCGCGTCTCGGTCACGCTCGGGGTGAACCGCAGGGGCGAGGAGGAGACAGTCGTGGCATGCATTGTGTTTCCCATGAGCCAAGACCGGAAGAAGCAAACGCTGCACGAACGTACTTTTTCGGAGGACCGCTTGGGTTTTTCGGATCGGCGCTGAGACCCCCTCCCTAGCGCGCGGAGCGCGGAGGCGCCACCAGGGGGGCCCAGCGCGGATTCAAGAATTCCGCGCGGACCTCCGACAGTTTTTGCTTCTGAAGTTTTTTCCTGCTGCGAAGGACTTCGCCTGCCGTCTCCCCGACGGCGATTCAGACTCTGATCGGCCCTAGTTCCCCTCCTTCCATGATTACCAGCCAA